TGAAAAGCTGCATCCTTTGCAGGAAGTTCACGAGAGCAGATCATTTACAAGCACAAACAGCGGGCAGCATTAAGCGCGGTTGGGCTTGTACCGCTGCCTTTGGAAAGTTAGTTTTTAGAAGTTCAGAGGAAGGTGGGTGTGACTGCACAACAAGAAATTGGAAAGCGGGAGCTTCTATCAGGGAGCCACGGAGTCTCTGTACACGGAGGACACACTGTTTTCTGGCGACTTGGCATTCATTCCCCCCACTTCCAGTAACAGAGGTTTGGGGATCCACTGGAAATCGGAAGGACACCACCTTCAGCGATGGAGCAGGGACTCGGGTGTAAGCCAACCAAAGGGTCATGTTCTCGGCCGCGGTGATTGGTTGGGGGCTGGGCTGGGACCCAGTCTGTCAGGGAGATGCCATGATACTCTCCCTGAGATTTCCAGGAAAGAGACTCTTGCTGTTTCGTGCTGGACCCGAATCTGCTCTCTTCTACCCCTGAGCCTCGGCCTCTGAGGGGAGGAGAGGGAGCCATCAGCCTAGAGCAGTAATGGCGAACCTATGACACGTGTGTCAGAGGTGACACGTGAACTCATTTTTTTGGTTGATTTTTCTTTGTTAAATGGCATTTAAATATATAAAATAAATATCAAAAATATAAGTCTTTGTTTTACTATGGTTGCAAATATCAAAAAATTTCTATATGTGTCACGGCACCAGAATTAAGTTAGGGTTTTTCAAAATCCTGACACGCCGAGTTCAAAAGGTTCACCATCACTGGCCTAGAGAGGATGCGTTCCCCGTCCCGAGCCAAGGGAGGGGTCTCGGATGGAACCACTCTGCAGAGCGGGGCAGCTGCCTGAGCCGGTGTGCCATTCTCCAGGTGGTCGCCGGCTGATGTAGCAGAATTGCCCATTTGCCCTCTCTGCCCATGTAAGCACAAGAAAAGTAACTGGGGAGAGATGTCAGGGCAGAGAGAGGGGACCTGGAGGGAGCAGCCACTGTGGGTGTGCCTCCTGTGGGCCACGTGGGCACTGAGGACGGCATCAAAGCTGTTCAAGAGGGCTGACTGCCACCAGGAGACCCCCCACCAAGAAGCTGTGGGCAGGAGCTGCAGTGGGAGCTGGAGCGCCCTCCCCCATCAGGGATGGTATAGCGAGGAGGTCCCAGGGGGCCTGTGCATAACCAGCATCCTCTCCATGCCAGAGGCCCCTGCAGTTAGGCACAGAGAGAAGCCCCAGTTAAGCAGGATTTGGGGATCTGTTCGATGGCCCCAACCCTGGGAGGAGAAGGGGCCCACAAGGGGCAAGGTATGGGGGCGAGGAAGGGTGGAAGGAGGGACACACTCCCTCCTCAGGGCAGCTTCCCCAGGCCACAGGTCAGCCTGAGCTAAAGGGTGGAAGCGGGTTGACTTGGATCTGAGACTGAAGTTGTAAACTGTACCGGAGTGGTTTAAGACCTTTTAATGCCTAAAAATGACCAGAAACTTTTGAGATCTGTCTGAGGTATCATCAAGGAAAGAGAAAGAAGATTCATGAAAGCACTTTGAAAAGAAATAACTGGAGAAAACACAATATGGTTCCATGTTTGTACCTCTTAGTTCAGACTGTTGCACATACTGGTTACACAGGTGTCGTGAGACCCTAGGGGAGTCCTGTCTGAGAATGGAGTGTGCCCAGAGTAGACTGAGAGATGGGGAGAGAGAACACCCAGGGTCCCAGCGACAGTGTGTGAACCCCTGCATCTCCCCAGACTTTTTAAAAATATATTTTTATTGATTTCAGAGAGGAAGGGAGAGGGAGAGAGAGAAACATCAATGATGAGAGAGAATCATTGATGGGCTGCCTCCTGCACGCCCCCTACTCGGTATCAAGTCCACAACCCAGGCATGTGCCAGACCACGAATTGAACCAGTGACCTCTTGGTGTATGGGATGGCGCTCAATCCATTGAGCCACACCAGCCAGGCCAGATTTCTTTGATATGTGGGTCAATAAGCCCCCTGAGCCAATCTGCTTTGAGTTTTCTAACTGTCAACAGAAAAAATCCTAACTGATACAGGGCACATATATACACTTTTTTTGGAAAGAGGGACAGAAGTTTCATGAGATTCACCTAGGGTGTTGCTGTAAAAGGATATGACTCAGGGAAAAGAAACTGTAGGGTTCGAATCCAGCGATCTCATTGACAAATACAAGGGAAGGCCATCTACTGGGGCGTGTGGGGCTCTACAGGGACATCATGGAAAAGCCAGGCCAGGCCATCCTTGGGTAGCCACTGAAGCCGAGTCTGGCATTAACTGGCACTCCAGAAATATTTGTTGAATGCAAACCAGCAGGAAATTATAACAAGTCATTCTTGACATGCTAATTTTCAGGAAAATATCTAATGTGTGAACATATATAATCTGCACTTCCATATCCTGACAGATGGTCCGTATTAACAAAACTGATTATCGGAAGGAGAAGAAGAAGAAAGAAGGAAGAACAAGGGAAAAAAAAAGAGACCTTACAAATGTTTATTGAGTGCATACCATGTGGGAGGCTATACTACTAGTAGCACCATTGTGACGACCAGATTTAATTTTTTAAAAAGACACACTGTATTCCTATTTCTCAGAGACAGTCCCAACTGTTACCTAGAGAAAGAAAATGGCCTGGGGGGTTGCACGACTGGGGTTGGGCTTTGGGCGCTGTTTCTTCTTAGAATTGGGATTTGGACCCTGAGAGTCTTAGCTGTCTACTCAAGGTGTAACTAGGAACTGCCTACATCAAAATCTCCCTGTGAGAGGAACACAACCAGATGTTGTTATGATGGCGCTGGTGGGACAGGCTCCTGGAGCCCATGCTCTCTGCTTCACACCACACCGTCTAGACTTGATTATTTGCTGCCTTTGATTGCCCTGGAGGGTTTTATTTGGAAGGGAGATATTATTTTAATAGACATAACTTCTTATTTTTCTTTTTTCCCTATTTTTTGTTGTTTTTGTTTTTATTTTTCAATTAGTGATTAAAGTCCCCGAAGGTAAGGAGCATGACTTCTACCTGTGTAACCCACTGCCGTATCTGCCAACGGCTGGCCACTCTCCAGATGCTTAAACGTCTTTAGTTCGACCTTCCTTTGGTTTATTGAAGGCCAGTCTTCACTGCCTTCCTGGGATAACAACCGGAACTTCCCCTGGGAGGTGCTCTCCCAAGTTCTCAGTCATAGAACTTGATGATTGACTCTGGGGGTGCGATTAATTGCTTCAAGCCCGTCTGTCCCCCAGTCCCCACAGTAGTTGCTTCAAGAATGGGCAGTGACCTACACATTCCCATCAGAGTGAACCTCACGTCGCTTGCCGAAAAGCTGGGGCCACATACACTCTTTGCTCCATTGATTATGAGCAAGGAAGCCGGTAGTGCAAATGTTGTTGGCAGGCTGCTTGGAGCACAACTGAGAATGAGGCCGTACTCCGGAAGCACAACCAACAACTGGAGACCTGGGCCTGAGCATGTCACGGAGGCCTTTATAAAGATGTGCCTGAAGCCACATCTATTCCTGAGTTGTTCAATTTTCTGTCCTAATAAGCCCCGCCCCCTCTTTAAATCAGTTTTATTTGGGGTTTTGTTACCTGCCAGCAAATACGGCCCAAGAGAGGTGCCCTTCAGTGTCTGTTATTTCTCTTGCAGCAAGTACCCCAGTCATCTTTGGTTCCTCCTCCCCCTCCTCAATTAAAAAAGTCACACAATTATCAATAAAGTAGGAGCCGAGAGGTGGCGGGAGTGGGTAGCAGGGTGATTTGGATTCATGACTTGTTGAGGCTCCATGCCCAAAGAATATCGATTAATGGATCAATGTCAACCTGGAGGGAAGCCCTGTCCTGTTCAACATTTTAATCAATGACTCGGATGAAATAGGAGACATGCTTAGCAAGTCTCAGATGACACAGAGCTGGAGGAATTGCTAATATGACAGATGGCAGAATCAAGATTCAAAATTATTTTGACTGACTTGAGCAATAATAAGAATAAATATAAACGCTTGCATCTAGGCTTTAAAAAAAATCAATTATATAAGCAGTGGATTGGGAAGGTCCGGCTTGGCACTTGTCATAACATCGTGGAACTTTAGGCTGACCATAGCTCATGATGAGCCAAAACTTGAAGCAATTAGTAACACAGGTAATGCATTGGAGAAGAAAGGCTAACCTTGCATTTAGTTCCCCAGTGGGAGAAAGAAGCAGAATTTTCTGGGAAACAGTTTTCAGCTCAATATATGAAAAAAAAATTCTAATAGTTCCAATAACAGAATGGGCCACCTCCCAAAACTGTGAATGCAGTAATTACATCAGAATGTAGTAGAAAGGCTTCTATGATGGTGGTCCTCCTTTTAAAGCACATATTTTAACAATGATTTTCTTTAACAACTCATAAGTCAGAGCAATACACACATAAGCATCCAGAAAAAAAAATGGCGTCATAAAGTAGCCTAACTCAGTGCCCTTGAACATGTACTTCAAGTCCAGCAAGGAGGGGCCTCCTCTAGAAGGAAGAACCAGAATCTGGACTCGGCACTACCAGGCCCCATTTCACCTGACTCCATTTACAGACCTGCTCTTCTGTGTTCGCCCAGCCTGCGTTATGCCCACTCCTGCCTTCACACCTGCCTACCTGAGCATGGCACCTCTACAGCCAGAAAACCGGGAAACAACACCTTCTGCCCCACCCCTGACCTTTGACCCTGACCAACGGAGGACTTTGCAACCAGGCCTGGTTTCATGGATGGCCCCAAACAGGGGAGGCATGAGCACAGTTTTTCTTTTTCTTGTTTTTTTCTTCTGTTGTTCTGAACACTACATCTTACTTGCTAACTCAGAGAGATGGAGAATGTGGGCAATGGCCCTATTTCATCTTATAAACTTAGGATGTGATGTTAGCAAGGCAGTTAACAAAAATAAGTTTCACCTCCACGAACACACAATTGTGTGGATTTCACATGGGCCACTGGACCCACTGGACCCAACTCGTACTCACATTTTTCTCGTTAAACTGGTCCACCTCTCTCAGAAGCCTCTCCTGGCAGTCGGGGTTGGTGGCCAGTAGGTAGGTGGCGAAGGAGAGAGTGTTGGTGACGATCTCGTAGCCAGCGATGAGAAAGAGGAAGGCCTGGCCCACGACCTCATCCATGGTCAGAGGCTTGGACGGGTGTCTGGGCTGGTGTTTCTCTGAAGGATTCGCCGAGCATTCATGGGAGAAGACTTGTGTGACGATGTCAAAGCTCTCCACGCCCACGGAGGCGGCAGAATGGCGGGCATCCAGAACCATTTGGAGGAAGTCTCTCCGCCTCTAAGGGACAAAAGAAGAAATGCACACTATGGCCCAGGGTCGCATAAGGGGGGTTTCTTGCAGCACAAAACAGGACGTGGACATGCAACTTTAGGATAGGACAAGGATTCTCGCTGCGGGATGATCTGAGATGGCGAGAGCCCCCTGAATGTCCCTCAGTCTGCACTGGTCCACATACTGGTGCAGCCAAGCGCAGGCTGTGATGCAGTCAAAAAGATGAGGCCGTCTGCCTATCTGGGCTGATCAGAAAGATGTGAAGCCACTCTGGTGAGTGAACGAAGCAAGTTGCGGAAGGATTTGTAAAAACAGTCAATGTACAAAGCACCTAATTGCATCTATTTGTCCTTGCAGAGCAAATCTTTAGCAACATCCATACTCAACAGCTCCCAGTGAGCTGGAGGAGATGGGAGAACCAGGGGGCTTTTAGTACTTTACTCATGTTTGTACTATTCATTGGCTGGTTGGTTTTCTAACAATAAAACAAATACAACATCATGTAGATTTAAGTCAAAGTATGTGCTCCATTGTTCACTCATACCCAGTTCAGGGCTTCTATGATGGCCATGTTTTTCTCACCAGCAGGAAGTTAACAGAACCTGGAGGCGGGGTGGGGGTTGGGGGGTGGGGGGCGGGAGACTAGCTTTGGTGAAGCTTGTCTTCAAAGTCTCCAGCCTGCGTTCTGCATCTCCTAGCCTAGCCTCCTCATCTCGGGCTCTGTTTTTCCCTCAGTAATCACTAGCCATTTAAGTGGTAAGAGCTGTCTTGCCATTTTCCCTTATCTTCTTTATAGTTTTACTATCACTAATTGTAACCATAGAAGCGCTTACATGTGGCCTTAGCCTTGACGGAGTATGTCCCTGGCACATCCCTTCTCTGAAAAGCTCTTTAACGGACGAGTGGCAAACAATAGGTTACTCTTCTCAGATGTTTATAGAATTAAACAGCAAAAGGAGAGTATCAGAACCACCACCAACACATTCTAATTTTAAAGTACGTTGCTTGTTGTAGAGTTTCCTCAGTTTATTGGCTTCTGGGTTTCTATTGCCTGAATAATCTGTGTCACACACATGAGCACTTAACTCCATCCTTAAAGATGGCTGTTATTTCCCGTGTGGCTGCTTTCTTCCTTCTATAAAAATAGGAGTGTCTCCAGGGCAGGACCCTGCACCCCCTCCCCCCCCTCAGTTTTGGTCTTGTGCGGAGTGCATGCTGGGCACGCAACACACACAGCTCCGTAAATAAAAATGCAGCGCGTTGAATGCATTCTGAGGAAGGCTGTGCTGGATTTGCTGACAACGACATGCTGTTTGGAGCAGCCACCTTGGATCATGAGACCTTTGCAGCTCTTCTGCTTCCCAGGTTGGTGACCTTGGGAGGTGTCTGCTGAGATACCAGCAGGGCTCACAGCGAGGCATGGGTGTCAAGAACCTGGAGACCAAAGAGGCAGGGCCTCGGTGTCTGGCCAGCCCGCTCGGGTTGGAACAGTGGAGAGAATAGCAAAGGGCCAGCCCAGTTGGCTGCCTCTTTCTACCCTGGCCCTGCTCATTCCGCTTTCCCAATGGCATCCTCAAGGGATGGCTTACCCCAGCTTCCTTCCTGCTGCTTGGTCAACACCTGGATGGCTGTGGTGGCCCCACTGCTAGCTCTGGTCCCGTGGGGCCAAGGTGGGGGCATAACGGCATGCATGGCAGGTGATCCCCTCTGCTACCTCAGCTCCTGGATGCCGGCCTGGGACCCCAGAATATCCGCAGGCCTCTCAGCGGGCGTGTCTGAAACTCCTCGGCCTGTGATACAGTTGTGGTCCCTGAGGCTTGCTCGTGGCTTTGCTGGGGTGGGGTGAGGCGATGAGAGGAGGGGGCGCACAAGCACATCCACGCTATTGGAGTTTCCCAGGGGCAGACGCAGCTGGCATCCTTTCCTCGCCTCCCCGCCGAGGCAGGCTGCTAGAGGGCCTTCGAGCCTTCTACAAATCAGTCTTAACCTCCAGCTACGGAGGCCAGAAAGGGCTGCTCTCTGGGGCCCCGGCCTGGAGAGGGGCATTAGTGCGGATGGCTTGCTTTTATTTGCACTGCATCACCAGGCTATTCGAACACTGCCCATTTAGGACCCGAACACGGCTGGTTTATGATTATATCCAAGAAAAATACGCACCCTGATAGATGTAGGTGTCTAATCCACCCATCGGCTAGAGCTTAGAAAAATATTTACCTTTTAACATCTGTGCCGCATTTTCCACTGCGCAAACACACATCTGCTTGATGGAATGTCTGCAGAGTTCAGATGGGTTTCAAGTGAGTTTTCTTAGTAACCGTATAGCCCTGTCTTGACACGGGCAGTCCTGGATTTGTGGTCGGGAGGTTTTTCCTCAGATCAACTCATTGTTTGAAACAAATAGCTCTCGAGTTTATAAAAGGAAAAGCTCGAGGCAATTCCAGTAATTGGATCTTTAATAACCCTCACCTCTTCGTAAGCCACTCGGGTGCGACAGTTTGAGAATCTCGGCCTGACTCCTCAGCCGGTGGGTTCCAGGCGGAGTTGGGGCAAGGGGGGTTGGGTGTGAGTGACCAAATGCTCACTCACACCCACACCTTTCGAGCAGCACTGAGGTTTGAAAATGGGGCTTTCCCCCCTCTCCTGCCCCAGGCCCCAGCCTCACTCCCGAGAAAGCGGACCCTGGCTGAGTGCCCTGTCTCTTTAGGCCGCAGAGCCTGGCCGGGGTGCCCGTTAGGTCATCCTCCCACACCTGCCGGGGCATCCAGTTGAGTTCGTGGTGGTGTGGGCCCAGGGGCGATGAGCTTGTCTACACCTTCCCCAGCTGCTGGACCTGGATACCTTTGCTGCCCAGACTCTAGAGGACACAGCTGGGCGGGGCGAGGCTGCTGCTCCCCGAGCCAGCTCCGCGCATGCAGCCTGCCCCCGATTTCATCCTCCGCCAAGGCTGCCACCATTGGGCCTCATGCCCTTTCCTTGTCAATCCTCTGAGCCACCCAGCCTTTGAGGAAACCCCTTGAGAGCGACATTGTGCCCAAGTCAATTTTGTATAAGACATTTTGCCTTGTTTTTTTTTTTTTCTCTTTTAAGCAACTTTCTTGAATGTAACAGGCCCCTTAAAGCATAGCGTTGCATATGCTACCAGCATATCCAACATGGAAATTATTTTCCCTAACATTAAAAATCCCTACTTCCATTCTCAGCCACGTTCAATGGACACATATTTTACTCAGTCCCTACTTGGTGCCGAGCGTGGTGCAAGTCTGTGAGGAGGGAAGAAATCTTGGGTCCCCGATGAAGCAGGAGAGGGCCCCCAGCCACAGGTTATGTAGGAGCATTCTGGGAGCCGAAGGGAGTGTGGGACTGGTGAGGGCTCCCTGCCTCCTCTCTAATATTGATGCTGCTCGTGCTGTAAACCTCATTCTTGCCATTTTTCAATGTAAAGAATATGCTGATGAAAAGCACATTTATCTGGAGAATTCGTCTGGGGGCAGCTCTGACCTGTGCGAGGGGTGATGCTTGAAATAGGTGGTGAGGTTGGGGGGCAGCTTTAATTCTACTGACCTCGGAGTGTGGACAGATTGTCCGGGCCTCTCCCCACAGTGCCTCCCGCCTGCTCTCTCTCGCCTTGTTTGCTCCTCCTCGACCCTCCTCCTTTCTTTCTACTGCCCCTGGAAAGCTCTGGGTGGGAGCCCCATGCAGGACAGCAGGGTGCCGTGGGTGGGGCAGGGAGGGGAGAGAGAAAAAAGAGACCACGAGCGATGCCAAATTAGGTTCCATTCCATTTCGAAGCTGTGTCCTATTAAAGCACGTTACCTCTTCTGCTGCTTGCTGGTCCCGCAAGGCAATCACATTTCTAATGAGTTTGTTAAAAAAGCTGTTCAGTTCATCTCGCTTCTTATTGGGCAGAATCCGGGCCAGTGGGACCATTATGGATGGAAATGATACTTGAAAGAGAAAAACAAAAATGGCACTGAAAGGGGGGGCGATAATAAACCAAGGCTGTTAGAGGCCTGTTGCCAGGAAGCAAGCCCCGGCCTTGAATTAGAGTCGCTTGAAGGCCCGTCTTCCCCTCTGAACTGCCGCTCCTCGCTCCTCGATACTGGCTCCTCGGGGAGGGGCCGCATCTCATTCCACCCCTGGACTCCTCGCCGCTCCTTGCACATTGATAAACACTCATACGACTGAATCCCCACTTCCATCTTCCCCTCCAGAAGTCAATCTCATGCCTCGAAATTAATTTTCCAGGCCGTAGATATGAGGGCCCACGCTCTTTGTATTTCATCAAGAAAGAACAGAGTGCAGGCCATGTTTCAAGTCTTAGCAAGTGGGAGAAGCTGATCTACTTTCTCAGCTTTCTGGCCATTTGCATCCCCCCGCCCCCACTGGATAATTGTCCCCAGAGCTACCACTTGAATCGTCCCTAAGTGTTGCCGCCACAGCTGCTGGCAAGGATGCTGGCCCCACCCCCTGTGGGCGCCTCCCCTGTGTGTCATGTGCAGCCTGGGCCATTGCTGCCATGCCCTTGGGACAGGGCTACCTGGGTCAGGGATGCTTATCACCTCCTGGGTGGTGACAGGGAACTGGGCTTGGTTTAGCTCCTCGGCGTTCACAGTGGGCCTACTGTGCACAGGTATTGTGCGGAAGCCGGGCTGGGGAGGGCAGTTCTGGACCCGAATGCTCTGCCCATTTTCATGAACCAGAGCCTGAACCAGAGACACGGCAGGGAGACGGGCTCCGAGTGGCAGAGAGCTGAGCGGCAGCAGCGTGGGACCATGGAACCACCTCCCTGCGGTTGATGGCAAGAGGGGCCACTCAGCTGGAGCAGCTCCCTGAGGTGCAGGGGTGGGGGGCAAAGGAGGACGATGCTTGACCCCCTTTGCAACTCCTCCTACAATGTCAGTGCAGAGCAATGTCCATAGACATTGACTCAGAAATGGAAATGAAACTGACCGAGGAATGAATAAAATTTACCAGCCCTGCAAATGGTTAGAAATGATGGCAATAATAACAATAAACTCAACACTTCGATACTCTTGTAAAAGCAAGAAGATACTGGAATTGGCCAGAGGGTAAAAACTCACTTCTAAAAGGAAAGTAAACTGACTGGTGTCCGTGGCATTAGGTCACCTGCACGCCACCTGTCACATCTGATCTAGTTTGCTGTGTGTTGGGCCTCAGGCAGAGAAGTCTTCTGCGGAGGATTTAACTGGCGGGGAGAGATATGCCCGGGAAAGGCTTTGGGTTCCAGCATCGGCTTTGCCTTTCTAAGCCTCGGTTTTCCCATCTATAAAATGGGGATGAGAACACCTCTCTTACAGGATGAATTCAAGCCCTTCCTGAGGCAATGCATGCAACACACTCCGCAGAGGGCTCGGCTGCTGTTCTCCCGGTGGCTGGCGGGGGTGAGGGAGGCCACCTGGGCGGGTAAGAAGTGGCTCTGGGGAGACCAGGCCTCTGCTTGGCAGACCCTGCAGGGTGACTCCCAGAGACCCTGAGCACCGTTCCTAGCGGCAGAGGCCGGGTCCTGAGAGCCGCCAGCACCACCCACGTGCCCAGGCTCTGCCCACCTGGCAGTAGCCCAGTGTCCCCGCCCTTGGCAGGGGCTGTACGTACAGATTAAAACCAGGAGAGGTTTGGGGATGGAGGAGGCAAAGAACCGCCTGCAGTGCTGCACAAAGGGGTCCTCGGGAGCCTTTTGGGAGTCCACCCGGGTGCCGAAGGCGACGCTGGCCACCACATCCGTGCTGTAGCAGTTGTAGCACCTACGGGAGAGGGACCCATTTGAATTTCAAGAGGACTCTGCCATCGGCCCACCCGTCGGACTCCATCGTCCACTTACTCCAAAGAGGAGCTTCCTGCAGGCCTGAGGGAGGGGGTGGGAGGAAGTGGCTGGGCTTAGACCCTCTGAGCAGGGACAGCGGAATATCAGAGGAGACACAAGACACCACCAGGAGCTGATCTGAACACAGATGGGAAGCGGGGACAGCGTCACGCAACTTCCAGGCTGTATCAGCCAGACACGGTCCGACACCAAACTGCGCTGTAAATTTCCTCCCGCGATGGAGGGAAAACAGTGGACCCAAAGCCTATGCATGTCACCCCAAAGCTGCTCAGAGCCAGCATCTGATGATCAATCGAGACAGAGCAAATTGTGATGAATGAATTAACAGCCTGCTTGTCTAGTTGTATTAGCTTTATCCCTGCTCCCTCCTCATGGGTTTACAGTTTTCATAAGGGCAACAAACAAACAAAAAAAAAAACAGAGGCCCGTCACTCTCAAAGAAATACAAGACAAACTTTGGAACCAGCTTCATGAACATATTATATTATTACAGAAAACACACGTTGTATTTTAGAAACAAACAGATGGGAAAGTGTCTGGCAGTAGCTCCAGAAAAATGAACTTCTCGGGCTCTGGGATGCCTGCCCCCAAATGGCCATTTAAACTAGAGTGATCTTTTTTTCTGTTATTCTAAAAGGGCCAGCAACTGGGTATTCATATCCCTTTGTAATTAAAAGGACTATTTTCAGGGCTTGATGTAGGCCCATACCTACTTCCTCTTCCTCATAAATTCTATGACCAACCATGAGGAGTAAATGACGTCTCCAGACGACTTATTTTATTTTGACTGCTGTTATTGAAAATGTCCCTACAGTTGATTACACATCTCCCTGCTCCTGTTGCAGAAACAATTTGACAACTGAATGTGATTTCATCTGATCCCAATGATGGAAGATTTAAGGGTTTTAAGAGTTGTTTACTCTGCTTTAATAGCTGCTGTGCCCACCTTATCTTTGGCCAACTCACGCATCTCATGACCAGAGAGAATGTGTACAAGAGAATTGTGTAAACAACAGGGTACAATGTAAATGCCAGTGGTGATTATGTTATCATTTTATTAGCAATGATAATAAAAATGAGTCAGCTTCTGGCTTATCTGCCGCCCCCACCTTACCCCTTGTCTACCATCAGTGAGCATAGGACAACTGGGAGAGAGTCAGATCGTCAGTCATTTAAATTTGGTGTCCCCGCTAAATCGTGGCTTCGAGGCTGAGGTGCACCTCAATTTCTCCGGAAGTGGAAATGCAGGGACTTTTCCCAGGACCCTGTCCTTTCTGCCCGGGTGTATCCTGCCCACTCCTAGGTTTGCAGAGGTTAGCGGACAAGTCCACTCACAAACCACTGCCCGCTCGAGGCTTCCCTCCACATGCCGCACCTCCCCTGGGCTGCGTTCACATCTGCTTCACGTTGCATACGGGTTTCATGTCTACTCATTGGTCAGTCCGCCCGTGCTTTTATGAGCTTTTAGCATTTCCATCCTCTGCTGGTCCCGAGGTCATTGTCCAGTAATTATGTACCGTTACAAGGAGCAGCGATTAGAAAGTGGGACTTCTCACCTGTAAGGCAGCCCTTACCTCTGGATGTCGAAAGCGTCCCCAGATTCCGCGTAGCGTTTTAGATGAGCCAGGAGCAGGTCGCAGGCTTGGCTGATGAGGGGCGTCATCTGATAGCGGATAACAAAGGTGTAATTAGGACACCATGCGGGGAGCATGCCTACAGTAGCTGCAGATAAAGAGGTTATGTGTGGTGCTTCCTGGAAAATGGATATTGTTTTGAAGATAATGTTCATGCAGCTAAGATTCAAGAGGAAGGGCTAAAATTCACAGAAATCATGACATACAATAGCTGTAAAATTTCTATTTTAGCTTAAGCAATCTGTTTTTTTTTTGGAAGCAAAAAGAAGAAGGGATGTAGAGTAAATGCTGTGAAATAATTGTGAAAATGATCGTTAAGTGCTGCGATGGAAATGACAATCTGTATTTGGTTTCATGACATTTGGTTAGCATTAGAGAGTAAATAGACCGCAATCCATATGTACTATCTCTGGAATTAGCCCAAATCCATGTTAACTTGGTTTCAATTATACTTTAGATCTTCCACTAAAATAGAAAATCCGAGTAGCCCAAGGAACTAAGGTTGCCCCTTTCCATACTTCTCATTCAATACAAAGTCATTCTTAGAGCATTTCTGATGGCTGGTTGTTCATTTCTGCTTAAATTGCTCATAACCTTCAAATCAGGGGAACCCGTGACTTCAAGAGGCCCTTTATGCCCACACAGGATGGTTGCTGAATTTCTCTTTTAATAGTAAAATATTTTTATTATGGAAATTTTCTAAGAGAGAGAATGGTGTCATGAGCATACGCACATTCATGTAACTAATTATCCAGCTTCCACAAATTTAGATCTCACTTTGGCTGCCCACCACTTTGACCCCACCACAGGCGGGCTTGAGTGGGTGGGATTCTTATTGGAGCCTGATGGGCACCCACGTGAAAGCCAAGTTAGAAGCATTGAGAGGAGCCGTTTTATCCAGGGCACGTTCTAGAGCAACATCACAGGGAAAGCGACATGCTGGACTACATTGTTCTGAGCATTTCTTTGGAAAACATATTTTGAAATGTTATCTATGTTTAGAGTTTACCTTTTTGACACAAGAATATAAATTCCTCTGGGTACAGGAGATTTTTGTCCATTTTTGTGTCTTTGGTACCCAGGACAGTGCCTGGCACATAGTAATTATTTGTTGAATGAATGAATGATGAATGAATGAATGGATATTAATGTTTACGTAAGATCCACTCTTTGTTGATAAAGTCTTGAGACATTTGGAAAAAGTCCTAAAATGTTAGGAGGTATATTGTATTGAGGCAAAATCTAACTTTTCCCTCCCCTCCCCTCCCCTCCCCTCCCCTCTTCTTCTCTTCTCCTCTTCTCCTCTCCTCTCCTCTCCTCTCCTCTCCTCTCCTCTCCTCTCCTCT